CAAAAGGAAAAAAAATACAGAAAGGCCAAAAAAGAGTGGAACCCGGAGTTTGCTTTCGGCCGTTGGAGTATTGGACCCACTTGATTTTGAGCTACTTTTAATCTATTGCACCTTCCAAATGAAAAGTCAAAATACGATGTACTGCGGTGATTTTATATAAATATATATATATATATATATATTACCAATTTCCAACTCCAAGAAAAGTCCTCCAGTCATTTAAAAATTACAAAATATTGGAAAAAAAAATCTCTAGAAGCATAATTTTTTTTGTATTTAAGTATAGTTTTTTTTTTAATTGAGTGATGAAATTTAAATTCTATTCTTTAAGAGCACAAATATATATGCCTTATATAACTAAACTCTTAATAAATGCATATATATATATATATATTAAGCTCAAAATATTGTTTGAATCCTTATTTTCCAAACTAGTGTTTAATTATTTTAGAAAAAAAACTAGTATTTAATTATATATGGCGTGAAGTTTTTTTTTTACTCTTTTTTTTTCATTAGTTAAAGAATTTTTTGATAGATTTTGCAAAAAAGTCTTAAACTTTAAAATTATGCTTAAAATTAAACTTACCAATTACTGCATGATCTATTAATAAAATATCAAAATTTTAATTTTAATAATTAAATTTAAATTTTAACAATTTCAAATATTAAAAAAAGCTAACAAAAAAAACTAATAACTGCATATCTAAATTATATGTTTAATGATGAATTTTAAAAAATTTTATGACGTAATGAAAAAGTGAGAAAACAAAAACACATAATAAAACAGGGAACATTGAGTTTAGGATTTAGATGTTGTTCGAAAGATTATTAGCTAACTAACTTTTGTTTTTTATTATTTATTTATTTATTTATTTTTTTTCCCATCGCTTTCTTTAACCAACTTCACTATTGTTGGTGGGTTGGTGGCTTTTCTATTTGTTTGAAAATGGGCTGGTAGGTCAATGGTAGAGTGACATCCCAAATCTTTTCACTCTTTTTCGATTATCAGTACTTTCATATGATTTTATTTTTATCTTATTATTTGTTTGAATAAGTGGAATGGAATTTTGCATCACAAAGGAATTTAAGTGATTTGTTTTTTTTTTTAATATCGGGAATGAATACTTAAAGTAAACCAAGCTTTTCGAATAAGGAAATAATATATTTACTTACCATTACATTATATGTTTAGATGAGGAAGTGGAAATATTTATATAACATTCATACTTAAAAAAAATTACTTCTCACTATATGGAGGGTAAGGTTGAGAAAGAAGCTAATGTGATATAAATTAGATCGTGTTTTAAAATATAATATCTGAGTTAATATTGAATTAATAATTTTAAAACATAACATAATTTATGGAAAAAATCTAATAAACTCAACACAACGGAACTCTACTTAAATTGTAAGTATTTTTTTTTTCTAATTTGTCAAATGAGTAAAACCTGTCATAGTCTTATAACTCATATTTCATCATTTTTTTAATGAAAAACCCATAAAAAGAACATTTCTCAACAATATTAAGCAATTAAAAAAATTTACACCAATCCTACCACTTATATAAGTGCATTTTATTAATTAAAATTAAACAAAATATAATACTAATATCCATTGATAAAATAATATATATTTTTTATTAAAAAAACATAATCCTTAAAAAAAATTAATGCGAAACTATAATATCTATATTTTAATAAAATTTTCTTAACCAACTAAAATAATATATATTTTGAATGAGATGAAGTGGAGTTTGAGCTTAAATTTTGTAAACTCGAGCCCATGCTTGAAGAAAATAGCAAGTCATACCAAGTTGGGCCTCCAACCATAGACAAATAGTGAGGCCATCAAAACGATTTAAGAAAGAGACACTTGTGGCAAAGTATGTGTATTTTGTTGGAAGGAAAAAAATAAAATGAACAAAGGGTCATTGTTGCATTTACTCGAAGGTCACAAACGACAAACAAAATCTATTGACAATTATACATGCAGTATTATAACAATGTTAAATGATATCCTAGTTAATAAATCTTTGATTTTGAACGGAATTGCCGTTGACGAAGTCATAAAAAAAATCAAAATCAAAATTGTAGGACTATTTTCTATAAATAAAATTAAAAAAACAAAAAAGAGAGAGGGATCAAACTTGTATGACTCCGTTGGACGGTCAGACCATGACTGAGTGTGTTTCTTTTGAATGGACCATATATATATATATATATATATATATATATATATCATCATCATCATCATTCATTCCATTAAGTTGAAATTTTGAATAAAATTAAAGGTTGATTGGTTTCGTTCAAACTAGACCCATACATCCATCAATAAATTGTATGTCAATATAAAGTCGATCTAAGGAAGGTGAAAATATCCGAAATTGACGGATTTTGATTCGATCCGACCTCTTAGGGTCGATTTTTTTTTTTTGAAAATCAAATATCAGGTTGGATGGCATAAAAAATTTCGGGTCGGGGTCGGGTTTTAAGCAAACCTGACCCGATATATATAAAAAAATTATTTTTTAATTTTATATTTAATTTTATATATTTTATATATATTTAATTTTATATATTTTTTATATATATATTTAATTTTATATTTATATTTAAAATAATATTTTATTAATTTCAAGTCCGATCGGATTTGATTTTATATAATATTGGATCGGATCGGATTTGATTTTATACAACATCGGATCGGGTCGGGTTCGGATATTAAAAATAAAAAAATTTGTCAGATTGATACGGATACGAGTTTTATATGTTTAAAGTTGAGTCGAGTTCGAAACGAGCAAAAATCCGACTTGACCTGACCCGTTGCCATCTCTAACCCGATCTCATGTTTTCCCCAATTTTCCTCTGCTATTTTTCTCCTTAATAATTTGTTGGCATTCACTAAGTAGAAAATATGCTATGTTTTGATCAAGACTGACATGAATCTCTGATCAACCATAGGTTAATTTGTCGTCATTTAATTTTAATGTTTTCTTCCTAATAATTACTGATTTTGAATTTGATATATCATTATTCATAGAATACAATGTAGTATCAAATTTAACGGTTGAATTAAAAATATAAACTATTATACAAAAAACAATGTAACTTTTTATTTTGATATCATTTTCTCTCCTTTCTTCTTGTGATCTATTATTTTCAAGTGTTTTCCAAAAAAAAAATTTTTTTTGGTATGTAAGCTTAAAAATTTTCTGATTTATGCTAAAGCAAAAAGGTTGTGATCGGTTTTAAGTTTTTAACTATTCAAAAACCTGATTAGTTGCTGAAATAACAATTTATTACCTAAAGACACACGGACGTGAGTTCTAATTCTGTCGTCTCTCTTTCCTTTTATATGGGCATTTGCCCTCTTATAAACCAAAAAAAAATTATTGCCTAAAATTAATTTATAGATGAATTATTGATCTCCTTAAAGACAATAAAACATAGCCAAATATGAACGATGAATCCCTATCAGGAGACAAACTCTTTCCTTTTCTTTTTTTTTTTTTTTTGTAAATTGACAAACTTGAGCGTTGAGGTTTGGTTGGAAAATTAATTGACAAATATTTTAATACAAGTGGCCTAAACCACTAGACAAAAGATCTACCAATTGCAGACCATGTTGCATAAAAAAAATGTAAATTATAAATAAAAGAGACTCAAAATTAATTATCCATAAAATAAGATAGAAAAATGGAAATAAATTTTGATTATTTATTGAACGAATTTGAAATTTTATTTTTTTTAATTACGTGCATAAATTCGAAAATTTGTGACTAAAGTTTAAAGGTAAGAATTATTAAAATAATATTTCTCAATTTATTATTCAATTGAACCAAATAAACTCAAAATCAACCCAAAAAATTTTAATAAAATATAAAATATTTTATAACATCAAAGATCTCATTATAATAAAAATATAATTTGATAACCTAAATTTCATGCAATAAATAAAGAAATTTTTATTTTAATTTTTTTAATAAAAGTTTAGAGCTTGTTTAAATTTAATCCCAAATTACTTTTACATATTCCAGCTTGATGACATTACAATTAAAAAGTATAGAGTTCAAATCTGAAAAAAAAAAAAAGAGAAAATAAAATTTATGAGATAATGTAACGTAGTGCTATGAGTAGATGTGTAATTAATTGAGTTTGAGTCAATATAATATTAAATTTGAGATTGAGTTTAACTCGAAATTTAAGACTTGAAATTCGATTTTAACTCGATCGAATTTTATTATTTTAGCTCGAGCTTGACTCGAAATAGAAATCGAGCTACTTGAGCTCACTCAATTAGGCTCGATTAATATGAAAAAATAAATTTAATTTTTATATTTGATAAAAATTCGATTATTTATGTTTGAATTTGAATTTAATATATTTTATTAATTAAAATAATAAAAATATATTAAAATAAAAAAAATTTAATTAAGCTAGTGAACTATATAAGTGAGTATAAAAATATTTGAACTCGATTCGATTGATAAATCGAGCAATTTAAGTTATAATTCGATTCGATAATAATCAAATTGAATTCAAATTTTATTTGAATCAAACTCGAATAATTTAGAATATTAATATATCATTTATGTTCTTAGCTATGAGCCCAAAAAATCATCTATATAAAAATTCGTATATCGGTACAATTCCACAACCTTATAATCTCTGTTAATAATTTTGTTCATATTGTTGAATCCAAGCCTCTGTACAGGCTTTTCTATCTGTTCCTGCTTATGTTCAGACTTTCTTATATTGTCACATAATTGGTTACGGGTATTTTTGGTCTCCAACAAATACTGACAAAATGAATAAACAAAAAAAAAATCAAAAGAGTATTTAATTATCAACATCGACAGCGGCCGCCCCCGTGTTGATTGAATCCAATCCAAGGGAGTTAAACACAAAAGAAAAAGGATGATAAAAAGATCGCAGCCGTCCAATTTTTCATTTATTGCATTGTCATCCAGTTTTTATTGATGACTGACTGCGCCCATTACATAGTAATACTCAAATTGGAAAAAGAAAATATTTCTTTTTCCATTGTCTCTCTATATAAAGGAGTTTTGAAGCTAAATCTCCGACTGACATCTGATCTCTTTCTTTTTCTCTTCATTTTTCATTTGATCTCCGATGATTTTGATGGATCATCGATCATGGAATGAAAGCTTGAGTGCGTAAATAAAAAAAAACTATATCGTAAAGATATTACAAAGTTGATCCAACACCATGAATTTCTGTTTTTCGAGATTAAATTGTTTCTCTTCTTCTTCTTCATCAGAAACCTGTTCCGACGCTCAAGGTAGGTATATTAAGAATTTTGTTTCTAAAAGGAATAATTTTACTTCACATCATCTTTCTCTGATGCAAAAAATGGGGAAAAATATATAATTGCATGACTTTGAAACCTTTCGATTCTTGTCTAAGCTTCATCTACAAGTGAATGCTTTCGGAAAAAACATGTATTTCTTTCATGAATATATAAAATCTGTTCTATAAGTTGATGCTTTTGCATCATCAAGTTGATCATGTAGTTCTTTCTTCTTCTTTTTTTCTTTTTTTTTTTTTTTTATAAGTGTAGATCTTTTTTCTTCGTTTTCTTTTATTAAGTTTAATTTTATTTTTGAACAAGTAACTTATAGGTTTCCTGTGTATATTGGGTATGGGAGTTTTGATTTTTTTTTTTTCCATATTTTCCATGTTTTCATGCTTTCTTCTAGGTTTGGGTTTGATATGGTAGCCTTGCAACTTTTCCTTTTTTTTTTTCCAACATATATACATATTATATAATTATTTAGGTGGTGTTAACATGTGCAACCTTTATGAACGTGGAAAGAGAAATATAAAATGTAAAAACTGCAAAGAGATTGAAAAAGAGTATTCAAACCTAACTTTTCCTTTCCTCCCTTTGTAAACCAACTATAGGATTCACATTATCATTCCCCAAGAATGCAATTATATATCGCATTCATCATCACATGTAATGCATGTTGATTAATTAATCCATCAAACTTGCCTAAAGTTTTTTGTTTTTTTTTTCTTTGCCAAAACTAAGTTTAAATCATTGAGATTATGACTTAAGAGTGATTAAAAAAAAGAAAGAAGATGAAAGGCAACAGCAATAAATGCGCTGCTGCATTGTCCAAGGGGAATGAATGAATGGATATAGCCTTTTTTTAGTAGTAACAAATACAATAATTTTCTTTTGTTTTATTATTAGGTTTAAAGTATCTTTTATGTTATAAGTTGACTCTCCAATTATTCATGCATTGTGGTCACCATCATCATTTATATATATATATATATATAATGTTAGTTTTCAGTTGGGGGTTTAATGATTATATGATGGTTTGTTAATTTGGCGAACTACTCATGGCCCCAGGTTCACAAACTGGAAACTTTCATACTTTCTTGTATGATGAATTGAAAATCGCAACCGATGAATTTCGATCTTCCAATAAAATTGGTGAAGGTGGATTTGGTTCTGTCTATAAGGTACCTTTTCTTTTTTTTTTTTTCCCTTAAAATTTATAAATTAGGCATTGTTGTATAGTATGTACTTATACACCATATCAAAATCACATTCCACTAAATTATTCTCCTCTTTTGAAGACTTTTCTTAATACGTAATTATTGACCTAACTAATAAAAAAATGATCATAAATCAGCATACACTTTTATTTATCGATTTCTTGCATTTTTATTTGTTGAATCTACTTTTGACATGATAATTATATATTTTTAAGAACACTATCTTTCAAAGAACTATTAATTAGATATCATTGACTTTATATTACTATTAGGTGGTTATCATTTATCACAGGCTTATTATGTATAATAATAATTATAATGTATAGTAAGTTCTATTTTGTTATCATTATCATAGCAATTTTTTTCCTAGTTTTTAGTAGGTGTAGTTATGGTGATAGAGGAAGAAAAAATAGCATTTTTTTGTTTGAGCCGCCTCAGTGGGCTGGAACCCCACTTCCCACGTTTATGAACTTTCAAACTTAAGACAATACCAACTTTTGTTTTTGTTTGCCAATCAAGAAATCAGTTTATATTATTTTTAAAAAAATCAATCTGTATTAGATAGTGTATAAATTTTGTACACCATTAGTAATAAAAAATGATATTATCTTATCAATAATCAAATATAAATTTTTATAAACTTTTAAAATAAATAAATATTTAATTAAAAAATTTTTTCTTATTAATGAGATAATATTATTATATTTACTGTTAACATATAAAATTTATATATTGATAATGTATCAAATATAAATTTTTAAAAAAATTCTATTTAGTTAATTAACGTTGTTTTGATTTGGACTTTAAAGGGGAAACTAAAAGATGGAAGAACAGTAGCTGTGAAGGTGTTGTCAGTAGAATCAAAGCAAGGGGACAGGGAATTCATGTCTGAAATAGCCTCAATATCAAATATTAGCCATGTAAATCTTGTTAAACTCCATGGTGGGTGCATTGATGGACCCTCTAGGATTCTTGTTTATGAGTACATGGAAAACAACAGCCTTGCTCAAATCTTACTAGGTATTTTCTTTCTTCTTCTATTCCCATCTCATCTTATATATCCTTCTTCTTTTTCATATAAAGTTGTTAGTAAAAATTGACTGATTGTAGGAGGGGAGAAAAACAGAGCAAACCTCAGTTGGAAATCAAGGAAAGAAATTGCCCTAGGGATTGCTCGGGCACTTTCATATATTCACGAGGAGGTGAAGCCACATATTGTGCATCGAGATATCAAACTTAGCAATATACTTTTGGATCAAAATTTCACTCCCAAAGTTTCAGATTTTGGCCTCTCCAGGCTATTTTCAGAGAATATCACTCACCTTAGTACTGGAGTTGCTGGAACATTGTAAGTATTATTTCTCTTCTTTTCAAGTTATATTATTTCTCACCCCCTTTTCCCCATCAAAGTTGTCACAACTTAATTTTTCTTATTCATTTTTAAGTTTAATTTTTAAAAAAATTGAATGAAATAGTTTTCAGATATATATTTAAAATTCAATTGAAATAAAATATTTAATCAATTCTAGTCAAAATTGAACATTTTTGAGAAATGAAAAGTCAAAATGTGGCAACTTTCTTAGGACAAAATTTAAGCATTCGCTGTGAGTTCCTAAAGTTTGGACTTTGGAGCTTAATGATGGCTTCTTAGGAAGCAACACATGAGCTTCTATTACTTAAATTGAAACTAATTAACTATGTATGGGATTGATTAATTCTCCTCTTAAAATACTTTACAAACCAAATAATTCTAAATCTATTCTTTTAAAAGTCGTTTACACCTACAAAGTCATAAATCAAAGATTAAAATGTTCTACATGGACGAATTATTAATGAACCTAAAAAAACGTAGAAATTAACCAGTTAATTAATTTAACTCCTGTGCATGAATTTTATTTTATTTTTCCAATTGCAATATTTTGCTTGGAATATAGTGGCCCAAGATTATAAGCTTCTAGTAAAAAAGAAAATTTTCGTTTTTTTTTTTTTAACTTTTTTTTCCTTTTCTTTTGTATCAAAGAGGTTATCTTGCTCCTGAATATGCTTTAAGCGGACACTTGACACGAAAATCAGATGTTTATAGTTTTGGAGTATTACTTCTAGAAATTATGAGTGGGCGGACGGCGATAGACTTTGATGTAGAACAAGGAGAATTCTTCCTTGTTGAGAAGGTATGCACTCTTGTTACTGTATTGTTGAAAGATAAAATGAAAGATTAAAATAAAATAATAAATACAGAGAAAAAAAAATTGAAATGTGTATATATATATATAGATACACACACATATATAAAACAAGTTCAGAAATCATAAATAGAATTTAAAATGATCAAAGTGGATCTGAATTTAAAAAAACATGTTCAGTTTATCCGAATTTAAATTTAATTTAATATGTTTTGATAAAAAAATAACAACTTAATTTTAATTAATTAAATCCAAAATAATACAAATTGAATTAATTTGGTTTTATATCTTAATAATTTAAACTTTAAATTATTAAAACTTAAAACGAAATTCTTTTTAATAAAAAAATATTTGATCCAAATCTAACTCCACCTGTCCAATTATCACCTTTAAATGAAATCATATAGTATAATCGTCCAATGGAGAATTACGGTAAACAAAAAGTTTAATTTTATTATCTCAACATATTATTATATGAATAAATTGACCGATACCTTATTTACCATGATGAAAATAAATGAATTTAGTAGTCACATAGTACGACCGTATTAATATATAAATAGAAAGGAGAAAAAAATTACAATACAAGATTAATTCAGCCATTATCGACGACACCCTCAAATTCTAGACAAACTATAGGCTTTAAAAATTAGTATGTAATTTCATTTTTTTTGTTACTTTAATTTTATCTTTAGAGGGGCAAAATAGATAAGTCTAGTATCCTATAAAGGGTGCTTTCCAATCACGTTAATTCATGGCACAATTTTATTAGTTATGTGACACCTTAACAAACATTTTAATTGTATGTATACCTGCCCACCGTCTAAATTTCGCAGTCATAATTTGTAATAGTTGATTGAATTTTCTTTCTCAATAAAGTGACTTTTGACTATATATTTTACATATAAAAACAAATTTAACAATAAAGGGTTACGAGCAAAATCTTTTGAAAGTGATATTAATAAACATTCATTTCTCAATTTTTTTTGTGGGGTCAATCATTCGCTGTCTGTCTGCCACCGGCGGCCAACAATTGGCATTGCCTATTCAACTATATATATATATATATAGTTGAATTTCAATTAGGCTTCAAAATCCCACAATTCTATTCTCAAGATTTAAAAATGAAAATTTCAAAATTGCTCTGGATATAAACGCCGAAATGTTCCTTGAATACATGCGATTGAATGATAAAAAACAAAAACTTAATCAGTCTGTATGTTATATATATACAATTATAGGGCAAATTTAACTAATGAAAACTATGCTTTTCCATGCAGGCATGGGACATGTACAAATCAAACAAGCTGGTGCAGCTGGTGGATCCAGTATTGCTGCTAAATGGGAGCAGCTTCTCGGTGCAAGAAGTGGTTCAATTCCTCAAGGTGGGATTGCTCTGCGTACAAGAGAAATGTGGGCTTCGGCCTTACATGTCGGAGGCGATTAAGATGATGTGCAATGAAATCGACATGGATGAGTTGCAGATGGCAAATCCAGGGCTCATCACCAATATCATGGATGTCAAAGTAGGAAATAGACGTTCTTCATCTTCAAGCTTTCCCAAATTGTTAAGCCCTCAGTTACATTCTATATAAAAAGTAGAAGATCTTACTTTGATTTTGCTTAGCTTTTTTTTTTTTTTTTTGGGTCATTCCTACTCATGATAGATTGTTCGTAAATAGTTCTTTTTTGGGAGGGGAAATCAAGTTAAAAACCAATGTTAATTTTACATTACTATAAATCTTAATCAATATCCATGGAGAAATATTCTGAGCAACATAATCCAAGTTCTATCTTTTTTATTATTTTATTCAAAAATATTATATATTAAATTTTGATTATTAAAATTAAAAATCAAATCTGATACATAGCTTAAATAGTTCATATACCTATCTTAAGAGACGGATAAGTCGAGATTCAATTATCAATTCTTACAAAATTTTCTTCCCTAATTTCTTTGAACCACTTATTCTCTTTTATATAAAAAATTAAAAATTCAGCACTTTATAAATAAAATACATAATTATTGATTTTCTATCATTGTTTTTATGTATGTCAGTTCACCGTATTTTTACAAAAATGCAAAAGTGTTTTGACTGCTCACAAAAACTTAATATTTATTACATACATGGGTAACATTTCTGCAGTTGGAATGTACAACTGATGTAGAAAATAGCATCACACTTTACATTATATAAGTAGATAACTGTTTTTTTACGGACATTTGCAGTAATTCATTGTGAATTTTCACTCTCTTTTTTCCGTGGGATGTTGAAAAAAATAATAACACTTTTATCGAGGGTTAAATATAAAAGTAGTCATTGTATTATATATTTTTTTATTAATTTGATATCTAAGAAAATAAAGGTTTTAGTTTGATACCTTAACTTTTATTTCATTATTCATTTTAGTATACGAGACTAATAGTATTAGTTAATTTGTTGGTGTGATATAAACATTTAATAAGTTGTAGATATGTATCAAAAAATTCATAAAAATTCAAAAAAAAATCTAATTTTCTTAATTTTCAAAAATCATAAATATTTTAAAAATTATAAAAAACTAAAATATTTAAAATTTTTTTAAGAAATATGAAAACATAAAAATTCAAAAAATATCAAAATTTTAATAAAAATAAAAAATTCAAAACATGAAAATTTTAATAAAAATTTTTTTCTTAAAATTCAAAAAATTCACAAAAATTAAAAATAATAAAAATCTAAATTTTTTTGAAAAAGACTAATTTTTTTTAAATTGTCAAACATTTTTTAAAAATTATGAAAAATTTTCATTATTTTTTATTTTCAATTTTTTAATTTTTTGTGAATCTTTTTTTTTATTTTTTTTGGATTTTTATTAAAATTTTAAGATTTATGATTTTTTTAAGTTTTAATATTTTTTTAAATTTTTATAATTTATAAAACTATTTCATATATTTTTTAATTTTTTAATAATTTTTTAAAAATATTTTAGATTTTTTAAAATTTTAAAATAAATTTTTATAATTTTTTAAAATTTTAAAAAGTTTTCTATTAATTTTGACATGATAATTAATGAATTGACATTAATTGAACTTTTTAACACGTGTTAACATTTTATTGCTTGTTCATGTTGTCATAATATATAGATCCATAGACTTATCACTATACATGACTTTAGGAGTCCTCACTAATCTTTTTTGCTTAAGTGTGATTGATCGCTTAACTAAATCTATTGCATCTTAAAGAGAAGTCTCAAACTTAACTTGAGTATCTTTAAATTATAAATTGTAATCTATGAAAGTAAAACTAGGTCCGAAAGTATCGTTATATGTGAAGAATGCTATAGTACCCTGATAACGTTCATCCAAAAGATGATACTAGTTTGATTTCGTATTATCCAAAAGCCTTAAAATCTTATCAAATAATTTAATATTCAAAATTACCCTTAAATTACTTTAATATGTTGGTAATAATTCAAGAACATTCTTTCACTTTAAGAGTATTCAAAAAGACTATTTGTCACATTTTGAAGAGGTTTCATCATCAAATTCATTACTATTTTATAAAAAGAACTTTTATTTATGATAAATGAAATTTTTTGGAATCTTGGTATTAAAAATCTTTTCTAAATTCTTCAATATATTGGTAAAATTTGAAATAATTTTTCAGTTAGGAATTTACATAAAAGTTGCTAATTGCAATACTCTTAGTAATTACATCATCGAAGATTTAAAATTAGTTTTCATAAAAATATTTTATTTTCAGAAATATCTTCTAATATGTTAGTAAGACTTTATGTTAAAATTATCTTTCAATATGTTGGTAGGATTTTATGAAAACTACTTCTTTTTTTTTTAAATTTAACTTTTTTAAAAATTATAAGATTTTTCAATATGTTAGTAAAATCTTATTTTTCAAAAATAAAATCACAGGCCGTCTAATATATTGGCAAAGCTTTTTTGAAAACCTTATTTTAAAAAATAAAATAAAACAAAATCACAAACCCTCTAGCATGTTGCTAAGGTTTTATTTTATTAAAAAATTTATTTTTTTTGGAAACTTAAACTCTCCAATATGTTGGAAAGGTTCTTTTTATTTAAAAAATTATTTTTTAAAAACTTGAATACTCCAATATGTTGGTAAAGTTCACTTTTTGTTTAAAAATGTTTTTATAGAAAATATTTACGAATGAATAAATAACAAGTAAACAAATAAACAAAAAATAAAAAATGAATAAAAAGACAAATAAACAAAAAAAATAAAGAACTAATCAAAAATAAATAAATAAATAAAATAGCAAGATTTGGCTTAGCAGCTAAGGAAGTGCGATTGTAGGCATAAAGACGTAACTTGTTTGATCGACTCAACTATGCAAATGGCTTGGCTAAACTTAACAGCCTAGGGGTATTCAAAATTACATGGGTTGAATCATGCTTGAACTCAAGTCGAGTCGAAAGAACATGCGAATCCCAAGGTGTTTTTTCTTTTTCCAAAATAGCATTATTTTCCCCACATATAAAAGATAAAAAATTTTTCTTCTTTCTTCAAACTTTTTTTTCTTTTCTCTCTCTTTTTTCTCTCCCCTCGAAACTCTTTCTTTTCTCTCTTTGTTTTGCAAATTTCGACTATTGTGATTTTCGACGTCATCGACAAATGTCACTGGTTTTTAGGTTAATCATCGAGAACTGGAAAGGGCTACCAAAGGTATGTTGAATTTTGGGTATGTCATTGGTTTTTGAGAATCACATCAAAAGTTGGTTGGAAAATTTGAATCTAACCGAAAAATTCAACTAGAATTTGAGTTTTCCAAAAAAATTCTAGAAAATTGCATAAATTTCATAAAAAAAAAAAACTAATTTAAACCTTTTAACTTCCAGAACACTCAGATGGCTGAATAAAAACCAAAACTCCATAAAATTTAAGAGAAAACTTTTATGCTAGAAATCCTCTTATTTTACTTTTCTTAATTTTTTTGCTACTTTAACTGTTATCCATTGTTGTGTTTGCTATCTTTGATTGATATGTAATTGCTCTATGTTGATTGCAGGTCCTTTTTATAGGAAAAATTAGGAGAATTTGAGATCAATGCCAACTCAACTGAGATTATCACTTTTTGGTTTATCAACAAGCTTAATCTCAAGAATTTTTGGTTTATTTTTTTTTCTTTTTCTTTAACAGATAATTTAACTAATCCAAAAAAGGATAAATAAACCTTAATTCAAGAGATAAATAATCATGAAGATAAATAAAACTAAGTATTAAAATTAATTCAAAAGATAAACAAACACAATAAAGTAAAAATAAAAAATATATTAATACATATAATAATAAAAAAAGATAAAAAAGTAAATAAAATATTCATAAATAAAAAGAAAATTCAACAAATGGGCTTAGATCGAGTGCAACCCAGTTGTTTAATGATTTAGACTAAATAGAGTATCTACAACTATCCCTTTTTATGCATTTTTTGTGCAACAAGAATTATCAAAGACATAAACAACTTATTATATCCAAGCCCAAATTGGTCACTCTTTTTTTGTTTTTGCAATAGGCTCCTAAAAAATAAAGGCACATAACTTAAAAAAAAGACTCTTAAAAATAGAGGCACATAACTTTAAAAAAAATAATAATAAAGGCTCATTCGACATGAAGGCACACAACTTTAAAAATAAGGATGACAACCAAAGGTTTTAATGATTATGCTTGGAGATTTTATAGATCATGTTCGAAAAACTAAAAGCTTAGGCTGGGAGGTTTGGTAAACCATCCATTGAAAAAAGCTCATTTAAAATAAAGGCTCCACAACTTTAGAAATGGTACTTGAAGGTTTTTAAAAGATCACATGTGGAGGTCTTATAGATCATATTTGGAGGAATTAAAAGATCATACCCAAAGATTTTATAAATTATGCCTAGAAGACTTAAAAGATGATGCCTGAAGGTTTTATAGATCATGTTCAAAGCTTTTGGTGATTATAACTAGAGGACTTAAAAGATTATGCCTAGAGGACTTAGAAGATCATGCCTGAAGGTCTTATAAATTATGCTCAGTTTGTGATTATACTTGAAAGACTTAAAAGATCATGTCCAGAGGTCTTATAAATCATGCTTTGAGGGTTTAAAAGATCATATTTAAAAAAAAAAACTTTAAAATGAAGGCTCAACAACTTAAAAAAATTAAAAAATATACTTAGAGGTTTTAAAAATCATGCTTGGAGGTCTTATAAATCATGTTCGGAGGACTTTGATAAGAGTATTTGAAATCTTATAAGATGTGCCCGAAGGTTTTAAAAAATATTACTTAGAGGTTTTCAAAACTGATACTTAAAAGTTTAACAAATATACCAAAAGTAAAATCTTGTTCGATCTCCATATTAAAGTTTTCTTTTTCACTAGACTTTAAGCATAAATCTTTTTCTCATGTTTGTTAAATAATATGCAATGAATGCAACACATGGGGTGAATGTGATGCATAAATGTATGCAAGGAATGCAATACATGAAATCCATATCATATGTCCTTAATTGTAGTAATATGATTCTCGAAACCTTTTCTTCTTTTCAACTTTCTATGACATAGCCTTTGAATTGGTTGACAAGTTTATTCACGAACTGAAGCAAACATTTTCATTCTTAAA